AAATCATTTTGCTCAAAATAGACAAGTTCAAAAGAAATCTGGCACAGTAGAAGGGGCAAAAGCAAAAGGGTTGGTGGGAGGAAAAGCTGTCACGCCACTGAAATCGCCACACTACAGAGCCATTCCGGGAGTGGATGAAGGACCACGGTGATGGCATGGTTATGCAAACCACTCTTTTAAAAAAATCTAAATTTCTAAATAAACATTAATAATCTTTTTTTCAAAAACAATTATTTGTCCTATCTTTTATTTGTCCTATCTTCTGATATTTGGGAGAACTTGCTATACTGTCCACAAAATGGGGTTTATTCGGGTCTATTTTGGAATATTCTTTTTTTTTCACACAAGATGACAGCAAAAACAAGCTTGGAGCCCTGTATCTTGCTATGTCTGCACATTTTCAGGTTTCTCCAGCAAGCCTCCTGGCTTCCCCTTTTCTTATTCATTTTTCTTAATACTTGAGAAATTAAGTGTAGAATTTTCTTAAACCATGACACCATCTCCCTCACAATGACAATCCTTGGTTTTGTTTCTCTGGGCTTCTGAACTCCAAGGAAGTCTTTTCACTTTACCTTTATATTCTTACATATCAGTAATTAGCTCGTTAATCAACTTACAATTTTAAGCTGCTGTATGATTGCTTTTATTCTGACATTTTCTTTTCTCAGGTTTTTCGGACTTTCAAGTTGGACTTCACTTGTAACCCAAATCTAACCATATCCTTGGGCAGAAGTTGCTTTCCTGAAAACCAGTAAGTTCACTATTAATCCTAAATTCAGCAAACTCTTCATGACTTGAGAATTTTAATGCCTACTGAAATGCCCAGTGCTAAAATCACTATCAGTGAGAAAGTTGAACACGGTGCCTGTCCCAAGCTCTCCACTCCAGGCTGAAGGCACACATCCATCAGACAGTTAGAAAACCAGTCCATGTTACCCAGGCATAATCCACACAATCTAGGACTGCAATAGGACTAAGCATTTTGGGAAACTATGATTTCTAGTTATTATTTTCATTTTAAGTAACAAAAATATATTTGACCCCAGTACCAAAAAAAATTATATTTGAATCACTTTGGCTGGAAAACCAAACAGTGTATTTTCTATTCTCATTAACAAATTATGGAACGTAATTTAACCTCTGGCAGCTAAAAGTTGTAACAGACATAAATTACAGCACTAGGACAGTACAATGATGCTTGGGGCCTACTCAGGTGTGATGGGCTAAAGCGGCTATGTCGATAACCTGTAAAGACTGCGAGGGTGAACTTAGTTTTTTTGAGGGGGAGTCAGTCTGTCACAGAGACATATAGTCTACCATAACTGCCGTGAGGGAACAGATGGTTCTGATAGAGGATCTACAGTGTGCTAGTCCGAGACACATTTTGCAGGGCACCCAGCAATCACTTGGCCTGGCACAAAGTCAAAGAAGGCAAACATCTGGCTAATGAATGACATTAATATGCCTGCCTGAGCAGGTCCTCCGTTCTTTACTGTTTCTGATCTGCCGTGGCTTGAAAACAGGTCGCCAAGCTTGAAAGAACGTAATCTGAAATGTCTCTGGCACGCTAATTTGCACAGAGCAGGTGCAACATGGCAAAACTTGATGAAATGATGGGCCAGGAATGTAGCTCAGTGGCACCGTGCCTGCCTGGCAAGAGCAAGGTCCTGAGTTCGATCCCTGGGGGGGGGGGGGGGGGTTCAGTGAGATGAAATATGAACAGCTAACAGCAAGCACTGAAAATGTGCCAGGAATTGTGGTAAGTTTGTCAGTCGTTACCTGAGACAATATATATACGGCAGGTAATATTATCCCCATTTCACAGACACAGAACTTGACACCCCACAGTATTTACCTTATAGAAGGCCAAGCAGCTGGTGACTGTGAATTGAACTGGGAATCCAGGCAGCCTGACTGCAGAACAAATGGTCTTAATTTATTATACTACCTGAATAATGTAAACAAGTCAGGCTCACGACAACACGGTGTTTATAACTTCTTTTTAAAAGTGGAATTCTTAGCAGATTTTCTGGTTCTCTGGCATCTTCTCAGACAGGTAAGGATTATTACATGTTAACACAACACTGACAGACCAAAATGCCGCCCTGAAAGCTAGAGGAGCAGTGTATGCACCGGTGCCACACCACGTAGTACAGATGAGGCGTCCCCAAGAAGAAGCTTGGAAGATCTGTGTGCACTAAGGTCATGAGGCAGTGCTGAAGAAGAGCGAAGGCCGAGCAGTGGAAGAGGAAGGGGCATTTTGTCACTAAGGAATCGCGCGCTGCCTCTGTGGAATGGGGGGACCATGCATTCATGAGTGGACAAACACATGTGATTTGAATCATCTGCACCTAAGCAGCTGTAAGCGCTGCAAAGAGCTGGACGCGGCAGGTTGCTGCTAGCATCCAACAGCTAATTCAAAGGCCAGATCTGAAGCTCTGATTCCGCAGCTTTCGTGGCATCACCAGGATCATTGGAAGAGACAGCAGTTGAGAGAATGGGGGACTCACCCCTAGCATTTCCAAACCTGCGGGGTGAGGACATGCTGACCTAGCAATTATTTAAGTGCATGGTCTCATTGGCTCAGAAATCTTTCACCAGGTTTACAGTCAGCTCTAATTAATGACACACCTAATGTAACTAGTACCTGGAGATACTCCCTGCCCCTAGGAGTCGCAGGAATGGGAGGCTGGGAAGTGCTTGGGCATCAGCAGCCTCTGCTACAAACACAGGAGCAAGTCAGCAGAGTGAGCTCTAACTGTGGGCAAGGGAGACACCACCCCGCCCCACTGCGGAGCCTGGGCACACTAGTGGGAGCCCCAAAGGAAAAACACTGCTCAACAGACTCCCTACTCTTGCTGACCTATAGGGCAGCTAAATCCTCAGCAGGAGTCCAACAGCCTCGGAGTGAGAACATCAAGAATAAATTCACCTGTGCTGCAGAGCAGGCTCTATGTGAAAACCTCTCACTTGGGCAGAATAAGTGGGTTAAGGTATCACTGGCGAATCTCCAAAAACTACATCATCTACTCATCAGAGACAGCCACCGCCACACTTGGTGCAGTCTTTCCTTCACCTCTCAAACATCAGAACTGTGAAAAATGCAAAGAACCCGTGTAGGATCCAAAACCCAATTCATGCATTCAACCAATGTACACATACTGAGCACCTGTGAGTCACCAGGCACGAATGTAGACTGGGAACATAAACAGGAAAAAGATTGGCACTCTGATAGACAGGAGGTACCGATACATTCTTAATTTACTCCGCAAGGATCCAAGCAACAAGCTCTCCTGGTGACCCACATGTACCAACCAAGTCTCCCCACTTCTACACCTCTGACCAAGGTGTGCCCACATGGAACATTCCTGCTACATTTCCTCTACCCAGACCTGTATATCCGTCAAGCCTGGTTTAATGCCCTCCTCATGGAGGCCCTGACCTCCATCCCACCCCAAGGCCATGACCGGGGCTCTGAACTACCAACCATCACAGGAGTACCACTGCCAGTTTAGCCAGAAATACTCTCCAACGGACTCTCTCATTCAACACATCCTGAGTGACTCTCTCAAGCCAATGTTGTTCTAGCTAGGAGCTGGAGAAATAGCCGCACACCAGTACTGGGTTTTTGTTCCCTAAAGGAAATTCCTGGGGAGGGCTCTTTTCTTTGTGCTACTTTTAAAAATCGTTCTGTAAAGATCTAAGTTGGTACCCGGTGCTTAATACCTAACGAGCTGTTAGAGCCCTGGGCTTCTTTGGTTCAAGCTCACTCAAATTGAAGTTACATAAACTAACAGGGAACAAAAGCTACCGAAGCCATTTCTAAATGAACTTCCACTTCTTTAAAAACCTCAGAAGAACGAGGAAGGAAAACAGGCTGTGAAAGCGCTGCTGAACCAACACATTTCGCTCGCACTGACAAAGCGCCTCCAATCCTCCTTCCAAGCTACACAAAAGTGATCTCTTCCCTTCAAACAGTGCAGCCCCAGATTCAAGCGTTTATTTTAATAGACCCTGGGAAAGTTTAAAGCGCCTCTCGGTTTCCAAAACACGTCTTTCTAAACCGTAATTTCTTTATGAATAAGCCCCCCATGAACCCTGCGTCTACCACTCAGACGAATGCAGCGATGGTGACTGCGAGACAATTTGAGCTTCTAGCATGAGAGAGGCTCAAAGACAAACTCTTCGAGGGTCATAAATCTACAATTTTAGTATAAACAAAAGCTTAGTCTTGCAGAGCGTGGTGCAAGGTTCCAAGGTCCTAAGAGAAGAAAATCAACAGAATTTCCTCCCGGGCAGCCGCGACACGCTGCAAGGCAAGGGAGTTTCTGCAGGAGGTGAGCGAGATTTTCTCTGTGTATCTGCACTGAAGTGGCTTTTGTCAGAAACCACAGCCGGCACCCCATAGCGGGCGAGGGTGCAGCGAGGCTGTGCCATGCGGCGCGGTGCCACCTGGGCACTCCCACCATTCTCCGCCTCGGCCCGCGCGCAGTCGCC